CCGGCCGCCCCGCCTCACCGGGCCCCAGTGGCCACCACTTGAAAGATAGCGGCTAGAGCGCCCTCCCTGCAGCCACCACACACTCACAAGCTGGCTGGTGGTCCCAGCCATGGGCCCCCGTGTCGGCGCGGGCGCCTCCCCCGCAACGCTGCGCGGCCAGCGCCTCCTCAGCGTCCTCCTCCCCGCCGCGGAGCCCCAGCAATGGCCGCCCGCATCCTGCCGGGAGGGCGCGCCCGCCGCCCCGCCCCCGCACGACGCCAGGAGGGACTTCCGCCACCGCCGCGCACGCCCATTGGCAGTACCTGCCGTCGCTCCTCCCGGGTCCTGGAGCCGCATTTCCGGGTTGGAGCCCAGCGGGCGGCTACGGCCGAGCCACTCCTCGGGGGTGCCCCACATGAGCCAATCCCCGGGTCCATGGGGCGGGGCGGCGCGACGAGGGGGCGAGCTGTCATCCTGAGCTGGCCGACGGGGAAATTGAGACTCAAAGGGTCGGGAGCTGGCCAAGGTCACGCCTGAGGAAACCCCGGTCTAGGACTGGGAAGCCCAACACGGTTAGCGGTTAGCGTAGAGATAAGCAACTTTTTGAGTTGCAAAACTCCCAAGTGTTGGGAGAAAATAATCCCGGCTGGAGAGACTGGCTGGAAGCAGAGCAGCACAATATCTATCCCATCACTGATCAGTCAGGAGGATAGCGTCAGAACTTTTTCCTGAAAATATACACAGCAAAACGTGTAGACTCATTCAACAGTTTGTCCCCACACCAGTCAGTGACACTGATTACATTCTTCCCATTCTTCAACCTTTTTCTTTTCTCCGTTGTCCCTCCTCCGTTCACATCAATTAACTTCCCCCCTACGATGTTTAATCTTTCGAAAGAATGTTGCCAATCTGATCACATATAATTCTTTTTTAACAATTTGTTTTCAGATGGATCAATTCTGTGACTGGAGTGGTGGGAATGAGTGTGTTTGAGACGGCGAGGTTGGCACAGGATAGAACAGCGTTTAGGGCTCTTGTACATAGGGTCGCTATGAGTCGCAAGCGACTCGATGGCACATAACAACATAAAGTTGATAGAGTAAACTGATTTTCCGTATAATGATTTATACACATTATGACAATTCATGACACTGACTGCAATCCTCAAATTTTAATAGCATTCTCCCCACTTTCTCGGTTTCATTAATTTCATTTATCTTTCTTTGCTATCTCATCCTGCTTTTTCCACCATAATTTATGCTGTGTACATAGTTCCTAAAAGAGCATGATGCTCTAACCCTCACTGATATTGAGTTCCTTTCGACTCTTAGTGACTCTATAGGGCAGATTAGAACTCCATCACGGGTTCCGAGGCTGTAATTTCTTATAGCAGCAGGTTGCCTCATCTTTCTCCCCTGGACCAAACTGGTAGATTTAAACCCTGGCATTCTGATTAGCAGCCAAGTGTCAAATGCCTTTACCACTTGGCTACCAGAACACCCTATTATATGAACTCAAATAGAGTCACTGAACAACAACAACAAAAAAAAAATTGGCTGACACAGAAGACTTTCTTGGTGCTCGCTTCCGCAACACATATACTAAAGTGATACAAAGAAGATTAGTATAGCCCCGGCATAAGGATGACACACAAATTGGTGAAGCGTTCCATATTTTTTCAATGTTTTTAATAAATAAAACCTCACACACAAAAAAATTTCTTGAACCAACATATTATCAAGAAGCAGTGGTGATGAAGGAGGAAGCTCAAACTGCTTTGAAGAAATTGGCAAAAAACTAGGCCCCAGGAATTAATGGTGTAGCAATTGACATATTTCTGCAAATAGATGCTGCCCTGAACAGGCTCATCAGGTTGTGGCAAGAAATCTGGAGTATAGGTACCTGGCCAATTGAATTGAAGAGATCCCTTTTGTTTCTAATACCAAAATTGTTTCCATCCCAAAATAAAAAAAGGATCTTTCCAAGCATGATGTCTTTTTTCCAAGAACTGGCCCTTTCTAACAACATGTTTCTATAAAACAAATTAGAACTGGATGGTAGAATTTCCTAGGCTTAAATAATTTTTAAACTGACTGGCACAGCTTTCTCCTACCAGAAGATTAACTGGTAAATTCAATCTGATCACCTTTCAATTAGCCAAGATCTTTAACCAATGCATCACTAGGGAGCCCCATAATGCTTAAGGCATTTACCAGTTAAGCTAAACTACTGTTAGGTTTGAAAATGTCTTCAGGGCAAGAATATCTTTATTATTTATTTGTTGTTGATGACAATGTTGTCATTTTAAAGAAAAATTTAGGATTATCTTTGTGACTTGAAAGTTTGCATGTTTTAAAATAACCTTTTTTCTCAGTTTCCAGACACAAACACATGTTTGTTTGGTGCTTATATGCAATAAAATCTAGACAATACAGGAAAGTCACTGTCAGATCCACAATCCCACATGACCAGAATGAATTCTTAAAGAGGAGGAATAGATGTAGTAAACTAGATGCCACTCAAAGCCCTCAGTGTGGATCATTCAACACCATCAAGTCAGTGTCACCTCATAACAACCTTCCGTTGGGTTTCTGAGACTCTAACTTTACAGGATGACACAGCCCATTTTTCTCCCAGAGTGACTGAGTTCAAACCACTGACCTTTCAATTAACAGCATGTTATTTTAAGGGTTTCTTGTTCAAAACGGTTTTCCTAGCCATTGAGTTTGACTTTGTCATGTGAATAGGCAGGAATTAGTGAATAGTGCATGTTAGCCTATCCACAAGGGGACTGGCTAGTCTTGGCACCAAATTGAGCAGATTCAGCAGCAGATTTTGAGACTCCCACCACCAGCAAAGCAGAAGCAAGAGCATGTAGCACATCATTCGAGGCCAGAGATTCGTGCCCGAGCCTGACCAAGGCCTACAGGAGCAGCAGCCATAGCTGTCAGGAGCAGAGAAACAGAGACCTGTCATGAGATGGAGCTGACCTTGGGGCTGCTGTGCCACAGAACCAGAGCTAAGAGCCTTTACCCAAGTTTGTTGGAAGACTGGGTGGCGGAGAATCATAATTTGCAGGACTAAGAGCCTAAAGCCATGAAGCTGAAGGCTGAGGTGCCTGTGAGCACATTCTGGAAGCTATCCTGACTGAATGACTCTATCTTTCTGCCAACCTGAATTACAGCCTTTCAGCTTCTGTATTTTGGTTCTGTGTGGCCTGTGGAGCTATCACAATGGTGCTGGGATGAATAAAAAGAGGTACGGGAGTATGGAAGATATGTCTGACCTCACAGGAATTGATTCTGTGTTGTGGGTGCTGTTGTCAGGGACAGCTTCCCATTCTGGAGCTGGCAAAGGTCAGATACAGCCGTTCCCAAGTGGCTCTTACTCTTTTTATCCAGCCCAATATGCTATGCTCTACACGCCCAAGGTGTGTATGGATATTTGCAGTGTGGATATTTGCTTGTCATACTTAGCAATGTCTGGAAGAATCTCACTACCATCCTGGAAAAAGCATCAAGGAGTAAAGCTATGTCTTTTGGATCAGAAATTCCTGAGTAACACAAGTGAGACCAAAATGGTGACATCAGCAGCAGTCATGGCCATGGCAAAGGTGACAAAGTACCAAAGGTGACAGAGAACTAGGCACTGGTGTGATGTAGATCTGCCATCCCATGAAGCCAACTGAGAACTCTGACCTAGGTTTACTGGCAGAATGAAGACGGGAGAACGGGAGGCACACAAAAATATCTGGTGGCCCAGTGATAAAGAGCTGCACTGCCAACCCAAAGGCACACAATTCTAATCCACCAGCAGGTGGAATCACTGCAAGAGAAAGATGAACAGTCTTCTTTCTGATTCACTGCCTCTGATAACCTGCTGGAGGGTCAGTTATGAATCAGTTCTGACTCAACAGTACACAACAACAAAAAAGCTTTACTCCTATTGCAATTTACAGCCTCAGAAACCCAGTGGATGGTTGCTATGAGTCAGAACAGAATTGATGGCACACGAGAGAAAAGAGCTTAGAAGTACTTGCCCAAACACAAGGCAGAGTCCAGAGCTGCAAGCCCAAGAGGCCTGCCTGTGAGCACACCTGCGAAGACCTATCCTGACTGAAGACTGGAACCCTGAGTGCTTCCACCCTGAACTGGAACCTGTCACTGCCTAGTAAACCCCTCAATTACGTTCTTTGTGAGACCTCTGTGGCCATCGCAGTGGATTAGCAAACCATGGAATTACAGTCAGTGTTCGAATGATGGAAGCAGGCTCAGGTGCATGAGAGTGATCTGGCTTCACAGGAATTGATGTCGACGGAGACTCTTCCCCCTTGTGGAGTAAACGGAGGTACCACACCTACCACATGATGGTTGGTTCACTGTAATAGTTCCAGACTCCAGAAGTATGAAGCATTGTAAGAAAGGGCCATGTGAAGTACACTGTTTAATCCTTAGAGGTCTCTCTGATTGCTGCTGTTGAGAACGAGACAGGTGAAGAAGTGCAGGAATCCAAGGGCACCAACACTTCTGCGAAGCTTCTAACTAAGCTTTCTGCTTCCTTGAGACCTTAAGTCAAACAATAGGAGATGATTCTGTGTTTAAAAGTTAAGGGAGGATTTTTCTCCTCCTGCCCTTAGATGTCTTGTACGCTCGTGTCCCGTGTCCATTCCTCCCCGCCCGTAGGGTTCGCGGCCACCATGGCGTATTAGAGGCAGCAGTGCCTGCGGCAGCATTGGCCCTTGCAGCAGCGGCAGCAGCACCAGGCTCTGCAGCGGCAACCCCCAGCGGCTTAAGCCATGGCGCTTCTCACAGCATCCAGCAGCAGCCTTGCTGTAACCGACAAAGACACCCTCGAATCCAGCACACCCCTCGACTCCCGCAGAGCCCCGCACCACAGCCGACATGAGCTACCTGAGCGGCGAGGGCTTGATGGGGGACTTGATGTCCTCCTTCAGCCTGTCGGCTTCGGGGGCTGAAGACAGCCTGGGTCTCTTAGACGACTATCTGGAGGTGGCCAAGCACTTCAGAGCGAACGAGTTCTCCAGGGACAAGGCGGGCTCCTCCGAATGGTTGGCTGCGGACGGGTTGGCCGACGCCTTGGGCAAGGAGGATGCCTTCTCCGGGACAGATTGGATGGTGGAGAAAATCGATCTGAAGGGGTTTGACTTTGATTCCTTGTTCAACTTAGAAGATATGGAAACCATGCCAGACGAGCTCTTGGCCACGTTGGACGACACATGTGATTTCTTTGAACCCCTAGTCCAGGAGACTAATAAGGAGCACCCCCAGGCAGTGAACCCAATTGGCCATCTCCCAGAAAGTCTACTACAAACAGACCAGGTTGCCCCCTCCACCTTCCTGCAGCCTCTTCCCCAGACCCCAGAGGTCCTGGTAGCCGCTCCAGACCATGCCTTTCACTTAGAGCTGGGCAGTGAAGTGGATATCTCTGACTCTGATAGGGACAGGAAGGCAGACACAGCTTCTTATGTCACCGTGGTCCCCCAGTGCATAAAGGAAGAGGACACCCCCTCAGATAATGACAGTGGCATTTGCATGAGCCCTGAGTCCTACCTGGGATCTCCCCGGCACAGTCCCCCCACCTCAGGCGGCTCCCCAAGCAGGAGCCGGCAGTCTCCAACTGACCTTGGTGGTCCTGCCCGCCCCAAACCCTATGACCCTCCTGGAGAGAGAACAGTGACAGCAAAAGTAAAGGGAGAGAAATTGGATAAAAAGTTTAAAAAAATGGAGCAGAACAAGACAGCAGCCACTAAATATCGCCAGAAAAAGAGGGCAGAGCAAGACGCCCTCACTGGGGAGTGCAAGGAGCTAGAGAGAAAGAACGAGGCCCTGAAGGAGAAGGCAGATTCCCTGGCCAAGGAGATCCAGTATCTGAAAGACTTGATAGAGGAGGTCCGCAGAGCCAGGGGGAAGAAAGGCTCCCCTAGTCTGGGGCAGCAGGAGTGTGCTTGTACATAGGCTTGCGCTGAAGCGGTTGTAATAAATTATTTTGTAGTCAAGAAAAAAAATAAATAAAAGTTAAGGGAGATACAACTCACACCTTCAACACAGAAGAGCACTTTCTGCAGATTTATGTCTAGGGAGCTCTGGTAGCTTAATGGTAAGGAATTGTGTTACCAATGCAAAGGCACACAGTTCGAATTTACCAGCTGCTCAGGAGGAAAAAGATGGGCAATCTCCTCCCATGTAATTTACTGTCTTTTAAAACCCTCTAGAGAGTCAGCTATAAGCCAACAGTACATAACAACAGTTTCCCATAAGTCATATTTAAGAACCACTTGCTTGAGCCAGACTCCTAAGCATGCACAATGCCTCACAGTGACTCACGGTGAACTGACACAAGGGCTGATAGAAAGGATAATTCCCTGAGCTGGACACAAATCGACACTATATGGTGCTACAAATGCACAGCATCCCAAAATAAGTCATGCCAACCAGCCCCTAAAGCCTTAGCAATGGACTCTATCTTAAATAGTATCTGTGCATGCATTTGCCCTCTGCAATCCTGCCTTTTTCCCATGCCCATATCCAAGATAATAATTAACAGACATGATGTCTTTTCTTGCTTAAGTTCTGAAGATCTTTTGTTGGGGGAGGGGTCAGAGGCTAGCATTGCATGGTCCCTCTCCGTCTGTACATGAGCTACTTCTGCCACTCTGAGCTGCTTCTGCTTAACAAAGTTGTATACATGTGGAACCATTGAGCCACTCCTAGTGGTGATCAGAAGGCAAAGCCCCTCCACTGGTATGATTCATCCCTGAATGTAAGAGGAGAAAAATCACTTCTGGAGTGGTGTAGGCAAGCAAAGATGAATGAAAGAAGACCGGGTCCTATTTCTAGTCAGCCAGATGCCCTATGCATAGGAGGATGGTTAAGAAGTCAAGTAATGAAGATTAAATTATTTTTATTTTTAAATAGTTATATGTTAAGGTTATAATATATATACTGAATATTTCTCTTCTGCCTAGCTTTGAGGAGGATATGAAGTGTTTGCGGCAGACGGTCAAGGACTGCAGTCTTCAATATGGATTCAACATCGAGGAAGCATGATTCTCACCACTGGACCAATTGGCAGTACCATGATAGATGGAGAAGAGATTGATATTGTTAACAATTTCAGCTTGCTCATTTCTATAATCAATGCCCTTGGCACCAGGAGTCAAGAAATCAAAAGACAAATTGCTCTGGGAAAAGCTGCTGCCAGGGACATCTCAAAAGTGCTGAAGAGCAACAGTGTCAGTTTGGAGACTAAGGTATGCCTGATCCAGGCCATGGTCTCCACGATTACTTGTTATGCATCAGAGAACTGGACAATGACCAAAGATGACAGAAAAAGAATTGATGCCTTTGAGTTGTAGTGCTAGAGAAGAGTATTGGACTGTCAAGAGAACAAGCAAGTTTATCTTGATATAGGTAAAGCCAAGCTGCTCTTTGGAGGAAAAGATTCTGAAGCTTCATCTCACATACTTTGGGCATGTGGCCAGGAGGGACCAGTCCTTGGAAAAGGACATCATGTTTGGAAGGATGGGAGGACAGCACAGGAGTGGAAGACCCTGCATAAGATGGATTGATGAGGGTAGATATATCAGAGAGACTGGCTCAGGATAGAGCAAAGTTCAGAGCTATTGTACACAAGGTCACTATGATTCACAGGTGACTCACTGTCCCATAACAACCACAATAATATCTAGTTTTGTTAAATGTATAATATTAAAAATAGTGGGCACTGTAGATTAAAGAAACCACACAATCCTCCTTCAGCTGGTTCTTTATGGAATGTATTAAAGGGGGAGAAGATTTTTCTCAAGGGAAAAAAAATTAGACTTGTTGCAAGTAGTGTCGTTAGGTGTCTAACAAGTAAATTACAACTCATAGAGAATCCATGGCCAACAGAGCCTTACCCTATCTGCACCATTCTCACATTCCCAGTATCTCTATCATGCTCAGACCCTTGTTGCAAACACCGTGTCAACCCATTTCACTGAGGGTCTGCTTCTCTTTCTCTGACCTCCTCCATCTTTTCCTGCATGATGTCTTTTCCTACAAGCTACCTCTCCTGACAATAAATGAAAAATATATTAAAAGTTTTACCATCTTTGCCTCTAAGGGGCACCCTGTTTACACTTCCTCCAAGCCAAATTTGTTTGTTCTTTCAGCAGTTGATGAGATATTCAAGAAATACTATTTGCCAAAACCACAATTCCAAGTCATCCATTATTCTTTGGTCTTCCCTAGTCATTACTCAACTTTTGAATGTACCAGAAGCAATTGAAAGTATCATGGCTTGGGTCAAGCATGCCTTAGACCTTAAACTGAAATCCTTGCTCTTTCACATTTGGAGAGGTCTTTAACAGCAGATTTTCCCAATGCAATATGCCTTTTAATTTCTTGATTACTGCTACGATTGGTGTCAACTGTGGATCCAAGTAAAATGAAATCTTTGACAATTTCAATCTTTTCTCCATTTATCTTGATAGATGCCCAGTCATAAGAAATTTTATTTTCTTGATGTTGAAATGTAATATCTTTAATTTTCTACAATAAATGCTTCAAATCATCTTCAATCAAGTTGCATCATCTGTAAAATATAGGTTGTTGATCAGCCTTCCTCCAATCCTAATGTTGCACTTTTCTTATAGTCCAGCTTCTCAAATTATTTGCTCAGCATACAGACTAAAGAGGTAGGAGAAATTCTGCAACCCTGACACACATTCTTCATGATTTTAAACCACACAATGTTCCCTTGTTCTGTTTGGACATTAGCTTCTTGGTCTCTACAGGATTTTCAGGAACATAATTAAGTATTCTGGGTATCCCCTTCTTCTCAATGTTACCCATAACATGTATGATCCACACAGGCAAATGAAACACAAGTAAGCATCTTTCTGATGCTCTCCACTTTGAGCCAAGATCCATCTGACATCAGCAATCTTTTGTCCCATGGCCTCTTCTGAATCGAGCTTGAATTTCTTGAAGTTCTCTATTAATGTATTGTTCCAGACATTAAGAAAAAAAAAGCACAACAACCTTCAGCAAGATTTTACTTTCATATGATACTAATGATATTATTTCAGAGTCTGTAAATCACACAAGAAGAGACTGCCCATCTTCCTCTTAGGAGTCTTTAGGTGGGCAGTGTAAATCTTTACCACTAGGCCACCAGAGCTAGCAAGACTGCTGCAATTGATGGTTTGTCCATAACTGGACCTTCCTATGGATACAGACGGTTAACATTCCAACCAGAGTAAAAGATTCTTCAAAGAAGGGAACATATTTGTCTCCTTAGATTTTTGGTTTTATAGAGATGGACAAATTAAAAACTATCTAAAATGGGAGTAGTGCTGTTGTTGTTTGGTGTCAAGTACGGTTCATGTTGTTGTTGTTGTTGTTATTGTTATGTGCTGTCGAGTCGCCTGTGACTCATAGTGACTTCTGAAGGCTGCCCGTACCTGAGCCAGTCTCACTGAGTCTGACATACTATCATCATTGCCCCAATTACTGTATCAATCCATCTCCTCCAGGGTCTTCCTCTCCTGCACTGTTCCCTTCACCTGTCATCCTTAGTCATTGTACATAGCAAGTAACTGGACACACCTTAGTCTATAGACTGTTGCTACTCAGTGCTAGGGAGATGACCCTAACAGCAGATTTTCCCAGTGCAATTTCTCTTTTAATTTCCTGACATAGCATTCCTGTGCACAACAGATCTGAACTCTGCCCTATCCTGTGCCATCCTGATTATTTCTGACATATTTGAGCCTGTTGCTGTAGTCATTATGTCACTCTATCTCACTAAGGGTCTTCCTCTCTTTTGCTAACCCTCTACCTTACTAAGCATGATGTCCCTCTCCAGGGAACAGCCTCTCCTAACAACATGCCCAAAGTATGAGAGACAAAGTTTTGCCATTCTTGCCTGTAAGGAGTGCTCTGGCTACACCTTTTCAAAGACATATCCGCTTGTTCTTTTGGAAGTCCATGGGATATTCAGTGTTCTTCTCAACCAGCACAGCAAAGAGCCATCAGTGCTTCCATGAGTATTCCTGGTAAAATTGGGTCAGCCTTGAAAGGAGGGGTGACATCCACTTCCTAATCATCACCCCTTGGAAACTCTATGAACTTAGAGAAACAACGATAGTTATAGAAAAGGGCTCGGGTCTTTTGTTCACAGTGTCACTATGAGTTGTGTTTGACTCGACAGCACTCAATAACAACAGGTTCTGTTTTAGAGCTTAAAGCTCAGAGTAAACATGCTATTTCCATATATGACTGTGTGCTTGCATTTTGAGCTTTTTTTAAAAAATGCTATCTTTTAAAATCTTGTGCTTTTCTCTGAGCTTTCAAACCCCCACAAAAGTCAAAAGTTTCTCTAACACCAACACAAGACTTGCTGCTGGTGACCACACTTGGGAAGTAATTTTGGCTGAACAACTATACACTTGAGAAGCTGTCTTGGCTGAGAAATTGCACTCTGGGGCTAACATGAATTTTAACTTGTTAACTTCCTTAATAAACCTCTCAACCATGAGTATGGATCTGTGAGTTCTGCGTGGTCATTGTAACAGATGGCGGACCCAATAGAACAGTAAGATTGGTGTTGGAATTAGCATAAGTAAATGCAGAAGTGTGGGAGACAATATCTGATCTTATAGGAACTGGTTTTGTACTATGAATGTTGCTGATGGGACAGTTTCCCCTTGTGGAGTTAGCAGAGGTCAGATTTGGCCCTTCCCGTGCTGCCTACACTCTTTGCACACCTGCCAAAGAGACTCTTTTTCCATTGTAATAAAGTTTTTTCCCCTGAACCATTTCATACCAAGGAGATTAGTCACAAGCTACTCTGGACAGTCCAGCCACACTCTACACAAACAGGTACAGAATTCAGCAGAGACTGGAAGCTCCTGGCATTCTTTGCTGACAGCCTTTATCTTTGGTGATAATCTGTGTTCCAAGTTACCTGA